ATGAGATGTTGAAGAATCTCGCTTTGATGCGGATTGTGGCTAGACTTTCGTCCACTGGAGTGAACGCCGGTCTCTCTCCCACCACAAATCCAACACCGAATTGCACTCCTTTACGTGGCAACTGTAGTAGACGTCGCAAGGCTCACGCTTACCTTCCTCGCCCCGTCCATCGCATTTCGTGGATGGAGCTGATGTCAGCCTTTATTTTCCCTAGGACTTCAACCAGCCGGGCAGAGGCTAGGCAGAGGCTAAACTAGCGTTCGGTCGCTACCCAGAAGAGTATTCATGGATATAAATATCCGGACGTAGTTAGCTGCGATTTGAACCGTAAGCACACGAATCACTTCTGGCCACTCCCAGGTGAATGGCCGTCAAAAGCTTTGCAGTACTGGGAAATGTCCAAAACATAGTGGCCAAAAGCGAATATCTCAACTAAACCCTGATGAATTTTTTTAAATTCGCTCTACATACCTGTATAATAAACCAAATAGCCGGACAAAACGTTAAATGATATACATACATATGTATGTATGTATAAGTATGAGGGCGTATTGAACATTTTGAGTACGCAGATTTTTTAGGCTGGTATATTTATTTATGCTAAATATATTACTTGATTTAGAAGTAAACGTCTTGGCTGTTCACCCAACCGCTTAGTAAAGACACAAACCTAAAGACAAGGTAATAAACAATTGAACTATAAATTTATTTATAGTTTCCGTTCAATCAATTTTTGCTCATTGTGGACTGCAGCCAGCTTTTTACCCTTTTAAAATGGAAGTGCTTTGAAGTTAGGGATAATAACTTGATACAGAACCGGATGATCCACATATCTACTTTTCAAATCAATTTACTAATTATTTAGTTAGCGTTGGGAGTATAATTTGTTATACAGTATATATATAGGAAAAACCTTGAAATTTAGGGGGGGCCGAAATTATCAAGCAAGCATTTCGTGGTAGTATTTTTGAATATCTAGGCAAAAATTTTAAAGTTAGGGGGGGGCCCGGCCCCCCCCCCCCTGCCCCTACCTAGCTACGCCCATGCTTCTAAGTATAGCTCAGAAATAAAGTTTGTTCAAATCCCCTTCGATTAATACCCATATTTTAATAATTCATTTATCTTATTAAATAATTTGAATTTAACTTTTTAAACAGGTGGCAACCCTCTTCAAAGTTATTTCAAAATAAATCGTTTTAAGATCCCTTTTGTTTGACATCCACTATGTTGTAATATTTCATTTAACCTGTTAATTAAGTTATTTCCGTTTTTAAACAGGTTGCAACCCTCTTCCAACATCCCAAAAATATTCTTAGGGTTCAAACTAGAGATTTATAATACTCTTTCGTTTGACATCCATATTTTGATATGTCATATAATTAACTAAGTTAAGTAAATTCGACATTTGAAGCAGGTTCAAAATATGTCCAAAACATCTTTCGTTTGTCATCCATATGATTATACATATTTCTCTTACCTAATTCCCTTTATTACGAATGAACGGTACGGATATGATGACATTAATCTATACTAATTATATATAGAGAAGTCCCTTTTTTTTATAACAGTTAATCTCGCGAACGGCTGGTCCGATTTTCATGAAATTTTGTATACAAATAGCTTTCGGTAACCACCATGTTTTAGGCTAAAAAAATTTTACTTTTTTTCGAGTAGGTGGACCAGGGACCGGTCTATTCGAATAAATCTTATTATAGTCCGATGTGCTTAAAATTTAGTACGTAAGTAGCTTTTTAGCATATATTAGCATATATGATCCATTTTGTCCGAGAAGTGGACCAGGGACCGATCTGTTCGAAGAAATCGTATTTATGGTCCGATTTGCTTAAAATTCGGTACGTAGGTAGCTTTTTGCCTGGATAAGCTTACAGATTCCTGTTTTCCAATTTTCATGCAATTTCGAATATAAATAGCTTTAAGTAACGACCATATCAAGGGGCGAATTCGTCACTAGGCAAGATTTTTTTGCGCCAATCTGAAACAACGGATACTGTCAAAATATAATTATAATATATAATATATATCAACTAATATATATTTAGAACCGTTTGTTAGTTTTCGCAAGGCTCGAGAGCGGCTGAACCGATTTTTTTGAAACTGCCACCTACCGCACGTGTCCCAAGGATGGTTTTAGGCTGAAAAAAATCTATATGTAAAGGGGGCGTGGCACTTCCCATACAAACCGAATTTCTCATGCTACATATCTCTGAAAGTGTGCATGGTAGAGTTTTGGAAATTGGTATGGAGATATACGAAATCAATCGCATACCCTTGGAGAAAGATTTTAGCTATTGTAAAAAGGGGTGTGACATCTCCCATACAAACCGAATTTTTCCTACTGCCTATCTTTGGAAGTGTTCATGGTAGAGTTCTAGAGTTTTGTATGGAGATGTACGAAATAAATCGCATACTCTTTGAGAAAAATTGGAACTATTGGAAAAGGGGGCGTGGCATCTTCCATACAAACCGAATTTTTCATACTGCCTATCTTTGGAAGTGTTCATGGTAGAGTTCCGGAACTTGGTATGGTTATATGAAATCAATCGCATACTCATGAAGAAAGAGGGCAGCTGTTGGAAAGGGGGGCGTGGCACCACCCATATAAATCGAATTTTTATACTGCATATCTCTGAAAGTATTCACGGTACAGTACTGGAACTTCGTATGGAGATATGTATATAGTTGAAATCAAGCCCATACTCATGGAGAAAATTTGGGTTATTTGAAAAGGGGTGTGAGGCCTACAAACGTACCGACCTTTAGCTATCTTTGAATGAATTTTTTTATTCTTCTGTAGGTGTGTTTGTGAGTGAAATCCTCCTAAATGGTTGTACGGATTTTAACGAAACTTTTTGTGTATTTGAGTGGGTCTCTGGATGGTTTAGTTTCACAATTTAATCCGACAGTTGGCGCTGTAGTTGAGTTATTACTAAAAATCTTATTTATGATCCGATTTGGCTAACATTTTAAATATGTATGCAATACTATTGCAAAAACGTGCTTCCAAGTGGTGCTGAAGTCGAGCTATTACTAAAAATAGCCAAGTGAGAAAAGGGGCCGTGAAGGTCAGATTAAATCGACCTGTTGCACCATTGAGTATATCGAACGCTCCTGCGTTGCGATTGGCCCATTGGATGTGATTTTCCAATATTATTATGCGTTCAAACTTTTAAGGTAATTCGTCTGAAATAAGTATATGTATATTGCATTTCCGTAGAACAATGATTCGCACCCATTTTGAAATTGCCACCTACTATACTGTAAAGCTTCTAGGACACTCACTATAGAACCGGGTCATTGTTGCCGCCAGGGAGTGAAGAGGAAAAAATGTATTTCGCTTTGCGAATAACCGTGCTATGAAATGCCGCACAACTGGAGAATTTCAAGAATGGATATAACACTTTCCTTAGGTTATTTAAAGCGGCAAATGACCACCAAACCTTAATCTTAGCAGACAAATGTGCCAAAGAAAATCATAAACGTGAATTGTTGGTGAAAATGTTGGACCAAAAAGTTTCAATAAAATATATAAAAATTTTGGGCGGGACGAAGTTCGCCGGGTCTGCTAGTTATTAAATAATTTGAAAAAGTAAAACCTTATCGCACATCTACAGGCCAAGCGCCTAAATTTGACACCCCATTTCTGAGAATCGAGCGAACGCTGCAGATCTAATATCCTGGACAATCCCTTCGCTTATTATATACATATTTACATATGTATGTAAATAAAAATCAAGTATCAACTAATAATGTTCTTTGAAAAAAAAAACAAAAGTAGAATATTAATTATATTTTTTAAATTTTTATTGCTTAAAATCGAGAAGTAAAAATCATTGTAACATGCAGTATGCAAATATGTGAGAATAGTTAAAATTGTTTTACCACGCGTCGCGACGCTTAGAACTTGTTGATTTTTTGGTTAAATTAAAAAAAAAAAAAAAAAATTATTTTTGGTCCCTCTTTTAAAGCTTAAATGATAGAAAATACAGGAAGCATAGTCCCGTCTGATAAAATAAATTACCTTGACCTTTAAAATGGGCTCAAACATCAAAATTTTGAATTTTTTACCTGAAAATATCATTGCATGGTTTTAAACAAAATTTTTAATACAATTTTCGATTCTTGAAAATGTATTGCTTGGCGACAGAACAGCAAAAATATATGTTTTAAACTATTAAACATTTTTTTTGAAGGCCACTTTAAAGGGGAAGGTAATTTTTTTTACCAAAGACATTATTAATCCTGAGTTTTCCAACACTTAAATTTTAAATGCCGATACATTTATTTCAGACATTGAGAAAGCGGCCCTTAGGGTTCTACGGTGAACTTTTTTGAGGAGTAATCTTATTGAAATCATTCGAAATTTAGAAATTTTTGAATGGAGGCTATTTTTTTTCTTCTACATAGTTAAAATCTAGGCAAATATGTTTGTTTGCACCCCAATCGGAAAAGTAGTAATGCATTACATGCGTGATAAATAATATAATGTATTTCTTATGCGTTCTCGATAATATTACTGCTAACTATGTAATCAGCATTCTAATGTATTCAAAAAGTTCCAAAAATTTCATATTAAAACACATTCATTTCTCGATACTAGGTAATTGAATGCACTTAGGACATCGCTCTGGGGAAAAAATGCATTTTGGAATGTAAAAAAGGTTGTTTTACTGATTATTTTTTCGATTACGATACATTACATTTTCTCACTGCGTCGTTCATAAAATAAGTTCAAGTCTACATACATTAGGGTGGGCCTTAAATGTAGGCAGCAAATTTTTACATCAGCTTTGCGATACGCCTTAATCGACTCCAATCGGAACCAAGATTTATATGTGATATCTATCACAGTGGCGTTACCGATTGAAGGGTTGAGACTGAAAAAAATCGTGCATTTGATTTTTAAAGACCACCCTAATATACATACATATATACGTATTTACATACAAACATAATATAAAATATTTAAATCAAACAAATTATTCTACCTTCTCATTTCAGGTGCCAGTCGACGACGTTGCTTAAGTATTCTAAAGACCCTTCGCGATCGCCATTTGGATTTGCCCGGCAACCCAGTGACATCGTATCACCTTAAGACATTATTGTTGTACGAGTGTGAGAAACATCCGCGTGAAATGGAATGGGAAGAGAATTGTATTGCTGATCGCATTAACGGCATATTCTTGCAATTGATTTCCTGCTTGCAATGCCGTCGGTGTCCACATTATTTCCTGCCGAATATGGACCTCTTCAAGGGCAAATCGCCAGGGGCGCTGGAAAATGCGGCGAAGCAAGTGTGGCGTTTAACGCGAATTATGCTCACCAATGCGCGTTGTTTGGAAGAATTATAAGATTTCCCTGATTTAATTTAGTTAATTTACATTTAAGCGAAGCAAGTTACTTATAAATATTTAGGTACTTTTAATTTAGCTTGTATTAATGAATATGCAAAGTGGCTGATTGAAATGGAAAACAGCATAAAAACTAGATAAGTTTCTATTTTAGTTGTTACATAATTAACGAATGAATATTCTGGAAAATAAATTCAGTTCTTAGGTTTTATATTTGCGTGTATGTGTATACTGTTAAGGTACCTACCAGTGAATATTTAGTTCTTTTAGTATATATATTCTTTTTTTATGTTTTTAATTGCAACGAAGAAAGTGCCTCCGTGGCACGACGAAAACAACGCAACTGCATTTAGCGCTTAAAGTAAGAGTAGCTTATGTATAAATATTTAAATCAAAAATTAATTATCCTTCTTGTGGGGTGCTCACTATTACTACATGTATACGGTTACAAGAGTTACATACGCTCTTAGGGCCGTTTGCACCATGCCTGGTTAACTCTAATTACCAGCTAAACAACTTTATCGACGTTATCGACACGCAGCCTATAACATGTGATCGATAAAGCAGTCGATGTACTTAACTGAAGAGTGTATGTATGTACTTCCAGTTAGCGTTAACTAGACATGGTGCAAACGGCCCTTAATAGGCAATCCTGTTTATTTATTAAGTGTACTTTATAATGTTTTATTATCTATATAAAATAAAATTTGAGGGCCTTGCTGCTATTTTGCACTTTACTTTGTTAACATTCACTTTACTGTACTATTCTTTGTAATTTAACTATTTATACATAATTATTAAGGTGGTCCTTAAAATATCAAAATCGTGGGGCAGCCCTTTATTTTGTTCTACGTTCAAAATAACTAAGGACATCCATGGGAATTTAAAAATTAAAACGTTTTTTTTTATCGAAAAATTCTACCAAATTTTGACTTTTTTGTGCATGGAACAAAATGAAGGGGTGCTTGCCCTGTACAAAATTTAGATGTTTATATTTTCAAAACCAACATAATACTTTAAAAGTTTTTTTGTTTATTTATTATATCTGTAGTAGTTATAATTCAATTATATGCGTGTATGTAAACATAAAAAAAAAACAAAAATCAAAGGATAATAAAATTATTTTAAATTATTAGTATTCAATAAACGAGTATCTACATATGTGTTTCTTAAACTTGCGTACTATGGTTTAATAATAAACCTAGGATTTTGAGAGAGGGCCAAAGTCCACAAAAGCATATTCCGCAGAGTCGCGTACAAATAACTTCGTTGTTAAGTACCTCCATTGGGTTGGGTGTTGCAACGGGGACTGGTGGATTTTGTTAAGCAAAGAGAAGTTTTCTTTTAGAACGGGGGGATGAGTCCATAAGTAAGCATATGACCAAAGGCAATCCTCAAGGGGGCGTTCCCTCTATTCTATTTTACCTTTGTGCACTTTAAAAACGAATTTTAGCCAAAACGCTTAATTTTGAAAGCAGATTTTTTTGAGTTGTGAAATATATACTCTACGCTCTCGTTTTCATTAAAACTTCATGGGGATTCTTCTGCTAAAGCATGGAAGGTTGCCAGGAATGTTTGAAGTTTAGACGAGTCCTCTCTCGGAATTTTGTTCCCCTGGGATACATCAGGGACGAGAATGTAAACTGGGCGCTCAGCAACGTGGATATTTTGAGTGAGGATCGCCTTCTTTGAGCCACTGGCTCTTTCGTGTCGTGCCACTAGCTAGCTAGGGGTCTTGTCCCGGACCCTTGAAGTGTGGTCAGAATCTCTTTTATTCCTAAGGCGGGCAAGGTGTCGCACGTTTCACCAAAGGACTTCAGTCTCTCCTCGTCTATCCTTGAAGCAGCATGCTTACAGCAAGGTCAGCTCCGTTGAAACGGCCCTACACACGGTTGTTGTTAGTACTGAGCAATCTTTTAAAAGCAGGAATTTGCGGTTGTTACTTTCCTTGTTATAAAATAGGCTTTTAATAACATCTTGCCCGAGGCTATCGTCAACTACCTAAATAAGCTAGGGGTCGGAGCCGACCCGCTTGCTTTGCAACAGAACCGTTGTGGCAGAATGGAGCAGGGCTTCAATCCGAAGATACGTGAGTAGAGGTATTCCGCTGGGTACCCCACTGGGTTGTCGTTAAGGACCTTTTGATGGCTCTGGAGATAAGCGACTGCCGGATGTGAACCCTAGCAAAACGGAGCTTATTATTTTTACTTGGAGGTATACGGCACCGAATTACCGTCTTCCCTCAATGGGCGGTCTCCCACTAGTGCTCGTTGACAGGGCGATACATCTGGGCTTGATCCTTGACAGCAAGCTTTCGGCATCGGATAACTACGATATTAAGCTCATTTGGGTTCCACAGCAAAGCGAAATCGGGGGTAACTGCATGACCGATGAGCTGGCAAGATAGGGTACCCTTTAGGAATTGCCTCTTGTTAGCCGGTTGCATCTCATAAGACTAAAATGGTATGAGCTATAGTGTTCAAAAGTGTTCTTAAGAGTCAGATTAAAAAGTTTAAATTTTTATAAAAATTTGTTGAATTTTCCTAAATTTTGTATAAATTTTGAAACTGCAATTTATATGGTTTTGGTTACAGCTTATAAAAAAAATTACAAACAAAAAACATTAACTCGCAAGACAGTGTGAATATTTAAAAGAAATCAACATGTGGTCACTTGTTTGAGTCACTGTATATACTCGTAAGTTCCCTAACCATGCAAACGATTTTATGTTCACCGAAATGACAGCGCTGACATGTCCAACGCGGCCAACTGACTGGTGCATGACATGTTTGGCATATAAATTAAAGCCAACAAGTAATTTCGGCGACACTTAACAATGGCTATAAAGTTAAAAATTGATTATAAAAAGTTGATAGGCACATATCATGTGGGGGGGTGCATTATCCATTTAGCCGTATGTGTGTGTGTTTTAAATTTTTGGGTTTGTGTTATAAATTTGTGGCGCATCACCAAAAAATCATGAGAATTTTGTCAATTACGCTCACGTTTGAAGAATTGCGAAAGTTAAACAACAAATTCGCTATATATATGTACCACCTCATTCAAACGGTTAATAATTAAGCGCACATACTTGTGTTTATTAATTAAAATTTATTTGCGAATTTGTCAAAAGTTAAAAGAGAACTGTGCCGACAGTGATAAACGGCTGACGTGCACTGAGTCACAACCACGGTGCTCCGAATAAATTTCCTCAAACGAAACTGGATTTCAGTTACTTTTAAATCATTTCACTCAGGTTACACATACAACTCGATTTTGACTGATTTTAGGATGTACCAAGGTGGAAATTTTTATAACGCTTAACTCCTCTTTAAGAAACGTTTCAAACTCGCAATAAGCTTTAGATGCTTTAAAATATTCTAAAAATATGTATTTGATAACAAAAATGAAAATAAGGTCAAACCAAATCACAAAAAGACGCTCATTTAATTTGTTTTTTTTTTTTGAATTTGTGGCGTCTCACTTCGATGTGCTTCCAGCGCCGCAGGTGGTGAAAACACAACATCACATTAACACCGATGACAATGCAAGCAGGTGAACGAACGATGAACGAAAGCTGAATGGTGATTTTTTTTATGATCCAAAGTCAAATTTTATTCTTTGTATTTTTAACTGTTTCAGACTTTCAATTTACATTAAACTTAGACAATAACAAATTGGCGTTTTTATGATTCGCGAGACCCGAGACCATGTTTATGCTTTTATGAATTTTGTTGTTGTTGACATGCACGCATAAACAAAAAATAAATGACGGTTTGCATTGGATTATTTAGATAAAATGATATTCGAATATAATAAGATTAATTTTACTTTTGTGCAGATGTTAAAAATATTGACTGAAGTAATTTGATTGAATAGACTCTGCAGTATAATAATTTTGTGTATGATATGCTAGAGTTTATTGATCATTTGTACAAATGTATGTATGTAAATTATGTAAATTTCTAATGCGCAGCTGTCAAAAAACCAAAACTGTATTTAGAGTATAGCTGATGTCCATGAAAACGGTAATAACAATAATAGCAATTAGTGAACCCGACTGCCGTGAAAATGCCTTTTCAAAACCTAAAAAAAAAAATATTCCAAATGAAAATGAAATGAAACAGGTGGCAACTATCCTCAAAACTATTTTCAAACTAAAATTTTCTGAAATCTCTTTCATCTGGCATTGTAATACATATTTTAATTAACTGATGAATTAAGTTGTTTTTGAATTGCTAAACACGTGGCAACCCTCCTAAATATAGTTCAGAAATAAAACCTCCATCCTCATTTCGATTGATACCCATCTTTTAATAATTGATTTGACTTTTTGATGCAGAAATGCATCTATACGCTCTAGAAACATCATCATGCATCAAAAAGAAAATTTTGAAAAAAATGTCACTTACGTTATTTTGGCGGTTAGGGCTCGATGTGTTGTCTTTCACAGAGCGAAAGTATCGTTTCATGTGTCAAATGCGTAATGGGCATTCACCATTAAATGTCTATTTGCGCTAAAAAGGCCTTACAGAAATCCGTTTTGGAACAATCAAAAATTGTTGACTTTTGTGTATGGGGCAGTGACAATAGAAATAAAAGTAATCGCTGCGTTCTTCCTCTTCTTAAAGTAGAAAAGCAAAACAAAGCGAATTACTTCTTTATTTTTCTCACATTTTCCAACCACTGCCACTTTAGACTGAAACAATGAAAATCTCTATTTTCTTGACATTTCAATTGACATTAAGTGCTGGTTTTTCCAACTCAACTTAACTTAGTTTAACCAATTTTTTAGACTTATTGGTCAAGAATAAGCTGTGTAAAAAGTAGGCTAAGTTTTGACTTAAGTACCAAAAATGGCTAAACTAAGTCAAGTTGAGTTGGAGAAACCAGCCCTAAGCATATTTTGATCTGACTAACTATTGACCAAATTCGCGGAATTTAATCAGTTTCTTTCCACAACAGGATTTTGATAGAGTGAGCTTTCAGATATACCTACATATATATTTTAGAGGGATAGGTGAAAATGTTTTTTGCATGTATCTAAATTTATGCATTCATCGCATTGTTACCCTTCATAACATACCATCGTCCTTACTGCACTGTTCAACACCCTTGTTCTATCACACATCGCTTTTACTTAAGGAGGGAGGTGTGGTTGGGAATGACTGGCTGGCCCACAAGACCACACATAGACCGAATACGTCCGTAGAGTAAACACATTCGTGTGCAGGCTGTGAACTCTTCATACACCTGAGGCAGTTTTGGACAGCATTGGCATGCTAATGAAAACTGTAATACACTTGGACGCCCTTTGCAGGATTTGAAGTTGAGTCTCACCGAGCAAAGCACCTTTATTTACTTACAGATTACATGCTCCTCGGTTTCTTCCTTGGTTTTACACTCCACAAGGCCTTATTTTTGTGTGTGTGTGTTGATAGCAGACAATGTCGTCTCAGCAGTCCTACCGAGAGCCCTGAGGCCTCTTTCTTTAGGGAAGCAGGAAACTGCGGAGTTTGCTATCACATGACTTACATATTAGGGGTATTCTCGAAATCTTGCAAGGCCGTTGCAGGTTGCATGGATTGCAT